TGYTTGGTCCTCGCAGATTYTGTTCCTCTTGRCAGCTGGAGTTGGCTTTTGGGTTGGTTTGTGGTGGGTGGGAGGGTGTTTGCACTCCTGGCTCCATTCCTGGGGGAGGATGGCTCTGGGWTGGGCTCCTTCCCTGGTGGAGGGTTTGATCTRCCCCAMAATGTGATAATTGCTGTGCCACTTCCCCATGCCAAATCCCAAATCCTCCTTGCAAAGGGGAGGCCTTTAGTGCTGATTTGGAGGAATTTGCCCCGTTGTGACCCTAAGAGGAACAGCAGGAGGAGGAATTTGGGTTCTCTGTGGGATTGCTGAAGGACAATCCTGCTCTGAGTGACACAACAGCCCAGAGCCTGCTTTTTGCTGCCTCTGCAGGAAAACAGAGCCCAGTGAGCAGGTGATAATGGAGGCTGTGTGGTGCCACCTCTCTGTTTGACAGATTGCCATAGCAGGTGCCCCTGTCACCGTGTGGATGGCCTACGACACCGGCTACACCGAGCGCTACATGGACGTCCCCGAGAACAACCAGCAGGGCTACGAGGCTGGCTCGGTGGCACTGCACGTGGAAAAGCTTCCCAACGAGTGAGTACCTGCCCCAGAGCTGCTCCTGGGGCCACATCTGCTCAATCCCAAAGGGTTCTGATGGGGTTTAACTTGTGAATTTTTGGTCACTGCCTTCGGCAGCAGCTGGGCCATGGCATCCCAGCCCCTTTTGCCAGGGAGGGCTCGAGGTCCTGGCACTGCTCTTGCTTGGATTTGGCTTGTCCAGCTGGCAACTCTTTGCTCAAACTCTCTGCAGAGCATTTTTCTGATGTCTCATCGTGTTTTCCATCTGGTTTCTCACCCTGTTTCTCTTCTTATCTCTCACCCCACGCCCAGGCCAAATCGTTTGCTGATCCTCCATGGCTTTTTGGATGAAAATGTGCACTTTTTTCACACCAACTTCCTGGTATCGCAGCTAATCCGGGCTGGCAAACCTTACCAGCTGCAGGTAGGAGGGACAGCAGTGAGGTGGGAATGTCCCATAAATCTGGAGCAAGTTCCCTGCTGGGTGTTCTGGGGACAGCAGGAGATGGAGGCAGATCTGCCACATCCTGTTGTGAGTTGGTGACAACCAACACCACGCTGGACTCAGAGAGGAGGCCGGGAGGTGGCACTGTGGCTGTTCCACGGCTGCCAGATGTGGCATGTGCAGGCAGGGCYGCTGCCCTGAGGCCTGGAACTTTCCTTCTCATGAACTCTTCTGTCCCAGCTGGCAGAGAGAGGGAGGGGTTGTGCTCCAGACCTCTCCTGGCACCTCTTTGTCCCCGTGGATGGAGGGAACAGGGCTGAGGGGAGGGAKCTCTGTCCCTGCTGAGTGACCAAGTGCCCCGTGTCTGCCCCTGCACAGATCTACCCCAACGAGAGACACAGTATTCGGTGCCCTGAGTCAGGAGAGCACTACGAAATCACGCTGCTGCACTTTCTACAAGAATACCTCTGAGAGCACGAGCCTCTGCAAACTGGACACTGACAGCTCACCTGCCCCGTGCCCTCCCGCTCCCCAGCAGAGTCCAACCCACAGCACAAAGGGCTGAGTGCCCACGTCGGGCTGGGGGCCCCCCCAGGCCAGGGGGAAAAGCTGGAGGGCACCTTCCCTTTGGACAGTGCCACCTTCTCTCACTTTCCAAGCTGGAGGTCTGCCCCTGCTCGGCTGCTCGTCCTCCTCCTCTCCTCCAGCCTGGCTGTTCAACGCTTTTTTTGCTGCTACTCCCTCTCTCCTGGGAATCAATGGACAGTGGTCTGTGTCCCGAGGCTGAGGTTTGTGTCCATCTCTCTCTCTCTCTCTCTCTCCCCCCAATCCTTTTCCCTTCCCACTGCACCTGTGCAGTTCCCAAACTTTTACCTGCAAGAACTCAGTGCCTGTGTTGGAAATGGAAGAGCCGAATCAGAAGCTGCCTTAAGCCAGGAGCGGGAGGGAAGAGAGAACTACCTACTGCTCACCTGGGGAGCTGCTCTGTGTCCTGCAGCCCTGCAAAGTGAAGAGAGCTCTACAGAAGCATGCAACACTAGTTTGTTTTTTTCGGTTTTTTTGGTTTCTTTTTTAAATTTTGTATCTATTTTTTCCAGTTTAAATTTGCAGAGCAGGTGGAGGAAGCRGCCGGGGCTGGTAACGGCGTCCTCTGATCCTTCCTCTCATGGCAGCTCTCACACAAAGAGTTGTGCCAACAAGGTAGCACTGGCAGCTGGCTACAGCCAGAGCCTCTCTCCAGAGCTCACAGCAGCATTTGGGTTTTTGCAACACAAGATGGATGATATTTATGCAAATCCTCCCTCCCTCCATTCTCTGTGCCGCCCCCCGACCTCCCTCCTCTCCCCTGAGCTTTCCGATGTGCACTGAAATTGGCTGTGCTTCAGTTCTCTGCGGGTCAGTGACTGGTCCCCCTTGCCCGTCTACTCAGCAACGCTCTCTCCTGGTTTTTATTTACCTGAGCAACAGGAACTGCAGTTCTGGGGAGGGGGGATTGAGCAATCACACCTCAGGGGAGCACATCCCCCCCCTCAAGCCAAGGGTTCTGCCAGGGGCAAAACGAAAACATAAAACAAACAAAAAAAAACAAAAAAAAAAACCCACCTAAATGAACCACGTCGACTTGCCCTGGAGTATTTTAAGTGCGTATTATGAAAAGAAAATATTTTTATGGATTCTTATTCTTTTATAATTATGAGTGTAAGATGTAGCGACTCATTAAAATATTGGAAAAGAGATGTTGGTGGCTGCTTTTGGAGGGGGAGGGGGCTTTGGGGAGGAAACTGCAGCTGCTGCCACAKCCAGAGCAGCTCTGCTGCGAGCCAAGAGCTCTGTTCTTTCTGTGCCGAGCAGTGGAGAGAATATTAAATCCCTGATGTTCCTCGGGGGAAGAATGATCCGAGCAATGGAGGGTTGGGAATCCTTTTGGCTCGCTGTGACCTTGAGCGAGTCAGCACCAGCCTGGTTTGGCCACCTCCCTCCCTCCGATGGGATTTTGGGGGTGCAGCTGCTCTGATCCCGCTCTGGGACACGCAGAGCTGTTTTTGCAGAGCTGGGCCTGCCTCTGCTCGCCCTCAAAGCTCCCCAAACCCGGCCTTGCTTTGCCTTCTGTGTTAATTAAGCCGCTGTTCATGCCCTGAGGGTGCTGCTGGAGGCTTTTTCTAAATGCACACAGCTTCTTCCAGCTGGAGGATTTGAGCTCCTGGGGATGGCTGGGAGCGTATTTCCCTCCTCTTTTTGTCCCCGTGCCTAAATAATTGTCCCAATTATTGCAGTTGTGGTTTAGCTGCTGCACAGCACCTCGGGTGTGAGTTTTGAGGTCGGAAGGAGGGAGCAGGGTGGAGGAAGTTGCACCACTCTGAGATGGGTGACAAAAGCACCCTGCAGCCAGCAAAGCTGCTCCCTCTGTCCCTGCTGCACTCACAGCTGGGTGGGTGCTGCTGGATGGGAAAAATCTTCATTTTTCTTTCCAGGCTTAATTTAAACTGCTTTTTCCTGTCCCCAAAAAGCTGAGTGTTTCTTAAAATGTCTTAAAAAYGCTCTTGTCTAGAAGAGTTTGCAGAACTCTTGCTGCAGGATTGTTTGGCACCCTGAAAAAGGGCTCGGCTGTCTTCTTTAGGGGATTGAGAATCCCGAGAGGAATTCGCTGGGAAATCACCTCCTGCAAGCCAGAGCTGTTCCATATGGAACAGGCCCCAAATGATGGGATGTCCTGCAGGAAAGGGAACAGGGAGCAGGGTGGCTCTGGGAGGAGGATTTGCAGCTGAGCTGATTTCCTGAGTGCTGATGACAGAGGAAGCAGCAGGTGCTGGGGAAACCAGTCAAAAAAAAATGACTCTTCCTCAAGAATTTGGGACTTGAGTGGCTTGGGAGGCATTTCTCTCCCAAAAACCCACCCTGTGGGGCTTTATTTTTAGGTGTGGAGGGYGAACAGATGTTCTTGAGGGCTTATTTTTTAAAAAAAAATCACTCCACGAGCTACGAAATTAGCTCGGGAAAGTCACTCCTTGCCCTGAAAGATGCTCGAATGGAAAACTTCCCAGCATCTCCATTCCCAGAGTGGGTGGGATAAAGGTGCAAGGACAGCTCTGGCTCTGGAAAAGCCACGTCAGTGGAAATTCTGTGTGTTTGGGGGGTCTCCGGCATTTGATTTCTGTCCTGGGTCGTGCAGGCATCACCCCCAGAATAACTGGAATGGCTCAGAAATCCCAAAGTCCCCCAAAGGAGGAGTGGGGTGTCCAAGGCCAGGGTTGGGCTGGGCTCTGTGTGTGTGTGGCTAAAAGAAAGGGTGTAAATTGATCTTGGGGAATCCTCACGGAGGGATTTTGGTGAAAGCAGAGGCATCCCAGCTCCGTGCTGGGACACGGGGAAGGCTTCAGGCATGGCCCTGCAGAGAATCCTCCTGTTCCTGCTTCCCATTCCAGCTCCTCTCAAAGCTGGGGCAGATTTCTGTGCCTTCYCCTCTCCTCTAACCCAGAGTTTTTTCTGGTTTAACCAGGTTTTTCCTGCTCCCGGCTGCAGGACACTGGTAACCAGTGATGGACAGCCAGGACAGCTGACCCTCCTTCCCACCCTGCTGCAAATCCACTGCCATTCCCTTCTGGAAACGGGATTTTGTTCCTGTGYGACAAGAAGCAATTAARAGTRCCACTGTTAATTGGCTGCTGCAACSCGGTGTGTGTCACAGAATGGTTGTTAGGAAYKTTAATMCAAAAACACCAGAGGTTTGTGTCCAAAAAGGAGACAGAGGAGTCCTGTGACTTTATTCGAATAAAGGCAGAGGCCATGSGATATTTCCTMAAATTGTTAGAGGAYGCAGCCTCCTTTTTATCCCAATTTCCCGGCCACATTTCCCTCTCTCTTTCCCCATCGGCTGACACTGTTGTCCCTTGTCCTTGATGTCCCCATGTCCTGGGGACACGTGTGGCCCGTCCGAACTCCTGCCACACCCAACATGGCCGCCGTGCCACCACCGCGCTGACCCCTCCCGGCCGCCATAGCCCGCGCTTCCTCTCCAAGATGGCGGCGCCCAGCGGGAGGAGCGGCCGGTACGCGTGGGCCGCGCTGGTGCCCGCCGCTCTGCTGTGTCTGGCGGCCAGGGCGGCCGCGGAACCGGGCACGGCCCCGGGTGCTGCCCCGAGCACGGCCGAGTTCGACGTGCGGCCCGGCGGGGAGGTTCACTCCTTCTCCCGGAGCCTGGTGAGCGGCCCGGAGGGAGGGAGCGGGTGAGGAGAGGGTACGCGCCTCTCGCTGATTGGCTGCGCGCCTTGTCAATCATGTGTTCTGCCGCGGGGATTGGCTGAGCGCGAAGGGGGCGGGGCGAGTGAGTGTGGGGGGGTCCCCAGGGAGAGAGGGGTCCCCAAAGGGGGCTGCAAAGGCGGGGGGATCCCGGAGAAAACGGGGAAATTCCCSTGAAAAAGGGGTCCCCAAAGGGGCTTTAATGGCAGGAGGATCCCCGAGAGAATGGGGGTCYCCAGGGAACGGAGATCTCCAGGGAACTGCTGGGTTCCTGTAAAAAAGGGGTCCCCAATGGGGGCTGAAAAGGCGGGGGGATCGCAGGGAGAAGGGAYCCCAAGGAGCGAGGGAGCCTTTATGGAGTAGGGGGTTCTGGAGGGGAAGGAGTCCCCAAATGGGGTTTTCCAGCAGAAGGGAGTGCCCAAGGAAAGCAGATCCCCAAGGTGGGACAGTCTTTGTAGCAAGGATGACCCCAGGAATGGGGAAAGAGGAATTTCCAAAGGGGTGAGGTACCCCAAGGACAGGGAGAGAGGGGAAAGGGTCTCAAAAAGGGGAAGGGGGCTCAGCAAGGGAACAGCCCCTGTAGAGAGGGGGCTGGGGGTCCCTGGGCCCCCCAGAACACCAAATCTCACCCTGGGCAGGAGGAAATAGCCTCAGATGGAGGTTTAGATTGAATATTGGGAAAAATTCCTCATGGAAAGGGTGGTCAGGCACTGCTCAGGGCAGTGGGATCCCCATCCCTGGAGGGATTTCAGAGTGGATGTGGCACTTGGGGACACGGCCAGTGCTGGGGACAGTTGGACTCTCTGCTCCAACCCCGACAATTCCTCGGTTCTGTGGAAGAAAAGCCCGTCCTAAAGCGAGCCTGCTGCTGTTCCTCTCTTCTGGCAGGGGGATTACGGCTGCACCTTCACCTACTCAGCCCAGGGCGGCACCAATGAGGTGAGCTGGGCAAATCCTGGGCACGGGATGGGAATCTGCTCTTCCTTTTGAGCCTGAGAGAAGCTGGGCAAATCCTGAGCTGGGAATCTTCTCCTTTTGAGCCTGAGAGGAGCTGGGCAAACCTGGGCACGGGCTGGGAATCTGCTCCTTTTGAGCCTGAATAGAGCTGGGCAAACCCCGGGAAAAAGAGGGCAAAGGAAATCAACCTGGGCATGGGATTTTGGAATCAACTCCTCCTTTTAAACCTGAAAGGAGCTGGGCAACACTCAGGCATGGGCTGGGAATCTGCTCCTTCTTTTGAGCCTAAAAGGAGCTGGGCAAATCGTGGCCATGGACTGGAAATCTGCTCCTTTTGAGTCTGAAAGGAGCTGGGCAAAACTCAGGCATGGGCTGGGAATCTGCTCCTCCTTTTAAACCTGAAAAGAGCTGGGCAAACCCCGGGCAAAAGTGGGGAAAGGAAATCAACCTGGACATGGGATTTTGGAATTTGCTCCTCCTTTTGAGCCTGAAAAGATCTGGGCAAAAGTGGGCAAATAAAGTCAACCTGGGCATGGGATTTTGGAATCAGTTCCTCCTTTTAAACCTGAAAGGAGCTGGGCAAATCGTGGGCACGGGCTGGGAATCTGCTCCTTTTGAGCCTGAGAGGAGCTGGGCAAACCCTGGGCAAAAGTGGGCAAAGGAAATCAAGCTGGGCACAGGATTTTGGAATCAGCTCCTCCTTTTGAGCCTGAAAAGAGCTGGGCAAACCCTGAGCTGGGAGGGAATCTGCTCCTCCTTTTCAACCTGAAAGGAAATGAGCCTGGGAACTGCTCCTCACAATTGTGGTGAGGAGGGAGCAAAAAGGGCCACCAGGAGTGCTGGGTGCTGTCTGGGGTGATTTTGGAGTGATTTTGGRGTGATTTTAGGATTGGCCTCGGGGGATTTTCCCCTCTCTGACTGCGGATTTCTCCCTGTGCAGCAATGGCAGATGAGTGTYGGGGTCAGCGAGGACAGCGGGCTCTTCTCCTGCTCCATCTGGAGGTGTGTCCTGAGCAAAATCACCCCGGGGTGTTGGGATGTGGGGCAGGGATGGGGATTTTCCTCTCCCGGAAAATCTGGGGGTGATWTTCAAACAGTTTTTGGTTTATAAATTCTGCATTCCTTTATTCCCCGTGAAAAGAACGGGAGGGAGATGTTTTTTAAATAAGTTATGGGGTCTGCTGGTKGATATTGAAAGGTAGATATTAAAAGGAGTAATGAGAGGAATTATAAATTTTATAGGAATTTTGCTAATTGACACAGATTGATGTTTATTTAAGGGAGTGTTTAAATCTTTACATTTAAAGAAAAATAATAGAGACACAAAGAATAARAAGRGGGGAATGCACATTAGATGGGAGTTTGTATTAGTTTGTATTTTAATGGGGAAAGAGAGGGAAATATGGCTTGGAAATTAAAATAATAAAAATTAAAATTAAAATTAAAAAAAAATAAAAAATAAAATAAAAATTAATTAAAAAAATTAAAATAAAAAAAGAGGCTGCGTATTCTACCAGTTTGAGAGACTTCATGGAAATGTTTTATTATTGTCCTTTTATTTGAATAAAGTTGCAGGATTCTTTTGGGGTTTTTTGGTTTTTTTTGGACATAAACTCGTAGCATTCATAGATTAATTTTCCTCCCAAATTTCCCTCGGCACAAAAAGCTGCGGGAGATGCAGAGGTGGCTGTGGGGGGAGGGAGAGAAGCAGAAATCCTTCACTCCTCTGCACCTCCACCCCCTGTGCTGCTGACAAAGGCTCTGCTTTCTTCTCCCAGGCCCCAAGGGAAGTCTTATCTCTTCTTTACCCAATTTAAAGCCGAAGTGAAAGGAGCCAAAATCGAGCACGCCATGGCTTATGTAAGTCCCAGCTGAGCCCGGGGAAGCAGCAGTGTGGGAGGCTGCTGTAAAACATGAATTAGACACAGAAAACATTGATTAGACATCTGTGCCTCAAAATGTGTSCCTAATTAGAGACTGGTGGCAGGCAGGAGAGGGGATGCAGGTGGGCAGTKCCTGCTCTCTCCATCCCAGGGATTTGCTGGTGTCGCTGAGACTGTGGGGAAAAACAAAAACTCTCCAATATTTTAATGGTAAAAGGTCAAGGCATTGCTTTATTTTCTGGCCAGGATGTCACAGAAATAATTTCATCCATGTGCAGACAAAATCATTCCGTGACACATGGATTTTACACAATTTTCCCCAAATTTTATCCAGCCAAAACCCAGAGAGCTTTATTGGTTTAATGTTCATTGGTCCAACGTTGTGCAGTTCTCAGGATTTGGGTTCCTGTTGGATCTGGGTTTTTTTTGCCTCTGATGCTGATCAGGTCCAGATCAGGTGCCAGGGGTGAGGTTTGGAGCTGATGTTCTGTTTATATCCCTTGATGGTCACTGGTGGTCATTGATGGTCACTGATGGTCACTGATGGTCACTGATGGTCACTGGTGGCCACTGATGACCCTTTTTTTTTGTGCTTCTTTCACTCTGTTGAGCTGTGAAGCTCCTCAACCCTCACCTGGTGTAAAAACACCCTGGAAAGAACCTTCAGCGCCTTCCCCGAACAAAATCTTTGACTAAAGTTCTGTAAAATTTTTTTTTTGGTGTATTTTCCAACATTGGGAGGGGGCTCCAAAGGCACCAGGGCATGGAGTGAGTCTTGGATTGCCTGAACAGATTGCACATGACATAGAAATCAAAACCAAACCCAGATCAAACCCCTGCTGRTGCTTTTGTCCRGCTCATTCTTCCATTTCCCAKTTTTTTTGGGGGGTGAGGCTTTTGMTYACCCCAAGAACACAAATCCATGGTTTAACAGGAGATAGAAAAACAGATTTTTCCTTCAGCTTTCCTTTGTGCACTTCCACTGCACATATAAATCACAAATCTGTTATTTTTTGGGACGTGCCCTTGTTTGGGTTGGTTTAAATGCTGACACTTTTTGGGTTGCCTCTCACAGCTCCTTCCTTCCTGTTTCAGTCTCAAGCTGCTGCAGGTTCCCAGAGCGACATCCCCTTAAAACAGGAAGAGTTTGAAATCACTGAAACCACAGGTTTGTGCCTGAGGGGCTGGTTTGGGGTTCAGGCCAGGGGTGAGTTGAAATGCTCTTAATCCACCCCTGGCTGCTGCATTTTGGGGGTTCCATCCCAGTTTAATTCCTGGGGGGAAGGAGGAGTTTCCAGTACTGGAATGGTGTGCTCAAGGAGGTGTGGAATTACTATCCCTGGATGTTTTAAAAAAAAGATTGGATGTGGTGCTTGGTTTAGTTGAGGTGTCAGGGCATGGGTTTGGCTGGAAGATCTTGGAAGGTGATTCTGTGATTTTGTGATGTTGTGTGATTCTCTGTGATTCTGTGATTCTCTGTGATTCTGTGATTCCGTGATTCTTCTTCTGTGATTCTCTGTGATTCTGTCATTCTGTGTGATTCTATAATTGATTCTGTGATTCTCTTCGATTCTGTGTGATTCTGATTCTGTGTGATTCTGTCATTCCATGATTGATTCTGTGATTTCTGTGTGATTCTGTGATTCTGTTTGACTCTGATTCTGTGATTCTCTGTGATTCTCTGTGATTCTGTCATTCTGTGTGATTCTATAATTGTTTCTGTGATTCTCTTTGATTCTGTGTGATTCTGATTCTGTGATTCTGTGTGATTCTGTGATTCTGTTTGACTCTGATTCTGTGTTTCTCTGTGATTCTCTGTCATTCTGTCATTCTGTGTGATTCTTTGATTCATTCTGTGATTCTGTGTCATTCTGTGACTCTGTTTGGCTCTGTGATTCTGTGATTCTGATTCTGTACGATTCTGTGATTCTGTGATTGATTCTGTGATTCTCTTTGATTCTATTTGATTCTGTGATTGATTCTGTGATTGATTCTGTGATGGATTCTGTGATTGATTCTGTGATTCTCTTTGATTCTGTGTGATTCTGTGATTCTCTGATTCCACGATTCTGTTCCTCCCCACTATGCAGGAGTGAGAAGAGCAGTGCCTGACACCCTGAAAGGGCCCAGCAGGGCTGTTCCATTCAACCTTTCCCATCTGCTGATCCTTTTCTCTCTCCCCAGTTTCTCACAGGGAAGGCAAATTCCGTTTYGAGCTCTCCAAACTCGTGATCTCAGCAAAAACCCCCCGTGATGAGCTGTGACCCCGGGGCCAGCCCTGGAACAGGGGGTTTGGCCGGACCAGCAGTGACATTTCCCTGTCACCTGCAGGGTTTTCCTTTGGTTTGGCCGAACTTTTTCATTTTTCCAGTGCCAGGGACCGAGGCTGGGAGGTGTGAGGAGGGATTTGTTGTGTTTTGTGTCAGGGTAAGGCCGTGCTTTGCAGCTGGAAATTCCCCTGGGAGGCTCCAGATCCTCCTGGGCCCCTCTCCCTGCTCTGCTGAGCTGAGCCTAGCAAAGCTGCCGTGAAAAGGGGCTCCTTATCTGCCTGGCTGGGGAGAGATAAGGGGCTGGGTTTCAGCAGGGATGTTGTTAACTCTGTAGGTTCTGGAGGAGAGCTGGGATTTCTCTCTCCTCCAGCACCACARGAGGAAATAATTCATTTAAGGGGAGGAAGGGAGGGGTTGGCCAAAGCTCTGATTTGGGCTGGGATGGTTTGGGTGGGGGGAATTTATTCTGACACAAGCAGGGATCAATCCAAGCAGCACTTGCACGTCCCAGCACAACCACGGGACCGTTTTATACCTAAAAAGTGATTTTTCTTTGTTTTCTTATCTGCAGTAATAACGGGGAAGGTGTAATTCCTGTGTAAATACAGCACAAATAAAGGAATGAAGCATCCTGCTCTGGCCTGGAGTTGCTCTGCTCTGTGCCTCTTCCCCTCTCCAGCTGGGTGGATTTTTGGAGTTGCTTGGCCAGGAGGTTTTTGGGGAATTTGGGGGCTGCAGAGGGTTTGGGGGAGGGGATTTGGGGCTGGGCATCCCACCACACCCATTCAGGATTCCCAGATCTGGCTCCTTTCCCTCTCTCCTCACAGGGACACACCAGCCCAGGGGGACAGGAGCTGCACCCAAAGGCCACTGTCCCCTCTCAGCACCTCGTGGGCTCCTGGCTGTGTGTCCTGCACACCCCTGGTGGGAATGGGCTCTGTCCCTGTCCCCTCTCAGCACCTCGTGGGCTCCTGGCTGTGTGTCCTGCACACCCTGATGGCAATGGGCTCTGTCCCTGTCCCCTCCCAGCACCTCATGGGCTCCTGGCTGTGTGTCCTGCACACCCCACTGGCAATGGGCTCTGTCCCCACCCTCCCCAGGCCGTGTCACATCGTTCTCTGTGACAGCTGGGACCAGGTCTGTGCAATGGCAGCGATGGGGCCTTTGTGTCTTTTATTGAATCTGCTCAGAGTTATCAGTGCCCGGGGACATCCACGGACCAGAGGGCACCAGAAGGTCACGGAGATAAGGCCAGCTGAGATTGCTCAGTGTCTCCGATGCTAAAAGGGCAATTTTTGGTGCTCAGAGCTGTGCTGGGAGAGGCTGGAGCATCTCTGCTCCAAGAGCAGGTGCTGTTCTCAGGCTGTGTCCCACTGGGGAGTCACCAGGGCTGAGTTTWGGGCTCCTGCTGAGCAGGGAGGGACCTGGGGGTGTCTGCTGGGAGTGGGATCTCACACAATCACTGAATGTTTGGGGTTTGGAGAGACCTTAAAGCTCATCCAGTGCCACCCCTGCCATGGGCAGGGACAACTTCACCACTCCTGGGTGCTCTGAGCCCTGTCCAGCCTGGCTTTGGGCACTGCCAGGGCTGGGGCACCCTGTGCCAGTGCCTCCCACCCTCCCAGGGARGAATTCCTCCCAAATTCCTCCYCRATATCCYRTCCATCCCTCCCCTCTGGCAGTGGGAATCCATTCCCCTYTGTCCCTGSAAACYCAGGAGCATGGACAGCAGARCACAACCCCCAGGTCACCCAGAGCCACCACCATTTGGGGACAAAGCCAGCTGTCCCCAGGGCTCGTTTTATCCCTGTCACCGCCACCGGAACGACCGCACGCAGCTCCCAGGCCACTCAGGTGAGTTTATTTCAATAACTCATCAGGGCTACAGAGTTTGCTAAAAAAAACCAACAACCACCACTCGGTGAAGGGCATGGAAAAAGGGATGAAATCCCTGGGGGAGCTCTGGGTCACCATCAAGGACAGCGCTGGAGCTGTTGGGTGGCACCGCCGCTCGTGGGGAGATGAGAATTCGGTGGTTTTTGGGATGCAGGGAAGGAGCAGCTCCCCCCAAATCCCTCCTGCCCTCACCCAGGTAAGAAAGGATCCTCCTGCTCTCAGGGATTTGTTGTTGAGGCCACCAAAGTCTACAAAAAATCATCTCCCTGGATGTTTTTTGGATGTCACACAAAATCTGGACCGCGATTTGCTCCCACCGCGTTCCAGAGCTGCTGGAAGGAAACCACAGAGTTCCACAACCCTCAAATTATGGGGTTTCACTGCTCACCCCAATAACTGGACCCCAACAACGTCCCACCCTCTCAGAAACACCTGGGAGGTGCTTCCCACCGCCAGTCTTTGGTTTGGTTTCTCCCCAGAGGGTTACGAGGCAAAGAGCCCAAATCCTTGGACTCGGAGCCGAAGGCACTTGGTGGGCAAAGGAAATCAAACTGTACAGCGGGCACCCAAAATTCTGGGAGATCCCAGCTCAGCCCAGCGCAGGGAGGGGTTTGCAGACCCTGGGCCAGGTGTGAGCAAAGCCAACCAAAATGTTGATAAAGTCAAAGTTTTGTAGGAATGAGAACACGAGCACTGCAGAGGAGGAAGAGGAGGAGGAGGAGGGGATGGTGAGCCCGGTGAAGGTCGATGCCAACGCCATCCTTTGAGCGTGGCAGGAGGCACAGTCCGGCCACCCAAACCCCACCCTGGCCACCCTCAAATACTCTCCTCCTCCAGCATTTTATTGACCCCCTCGCAGATCCTCTTGAGGTGGGTGCGGTAGGGCTCGGCCGGGCCGTAGAGCGCCGACAGGAACTCGTAGTCCGCAAAGTGGTTGAAGACGTGGTTGATGCGCGAGTGCGACTTGGCCGTCAGGTGCCCGTTGACCGCCTGGTGCAGCAGGTCCCGACACTCCGTCAGCACGCCAGACATGACCCTACGGTCGAAGGTGAAGTCTATCTGGTGGAAGCTGACGGCTGTCATGGCCAGAGTGTGAACCTTCTTGCGGAAACGCTCCATCACCAGCAGCTCCTCGGGGCTGAACTGCCCGTTGCGGTAGAGAACGCCCAGCTTCATCACGATCTTGATGAGGTTCTTGATGATCTTCTGGGCTTCCTTGCGGTTGTGGGTGTACTCCTTGGTGGCCCGGTACAGCTCGTCCAGGATCTCGCTGCTGGTGTCGTCGATGAAGACGTTGGCGATGGTTTTGGTGGCCATCTTGCTCAGGAGCTTCTTCTGGGCCTGCAGGGCCAAGTTTTTGGTGCTGAAGGTGTCCATCTCTGCGGGGGGAGAGGCACACACGGGTCAGTCCCTGCTCTACCTCCATTCCCATCTCCCCTGGGCCCTGGAAGCTGTCCCTCTGTGCCAGGGGGTGGAGCTGGATGAGYTTTCAGATCCCTTCCCACCCAAACTGTTGGTGATTCCTCACCTCTCCACACAGCCTTTGGGCAGGAGAAAGAACCAACAGCGACACCGAGGGATCTCTGAGGTGCTGGGGCAGTGGGAGCCGAGCTCACCCTCTCAAATGGGTTGATGGGATCACTTTCAGGCTGTTCCCACCTTCCTTCCCCCAAACCAAACCCTGCTCCATCGAGCGAGGTGTCCCTACCTGAGCACCGACCCTCCATCCTCCCGCGACCGACGCCTCCCTCCTCCCGCCGCGGCACGGSCTCTTGCCCCATCCTTTTACCATTTTTCCTTCCTTCAAACCTGACTCATTTCCTGCAGGGTGAGCTGGGGACAAGCCCAGGTGGCAGCTGAGTCACCCCCCCGATGCCATGCGCCGCGGCCGGAGCGGCACAGCCGGTTTGGATCACCCCACAGTCGGTGTGGGAGCCTTTTTCCCCGGTATTGCTCGCCCAGGAACACCCACACGAGCTCGGACTTGTTCTGCCGCCTCCTCGGCCGCCTCTGGAGGTGAATAATTCACCCAGACAGAGACCTCACCTGCAGCCCAACTCCCACATCCCGGCGGGGCCAAATCCATCACCTCGGGCTTGAAAACCCGCCGGGAACGATTCGAGCCCGAGAGGAGCCGGGGCCGGGGGAAAACACAGAGCTACAAATCACAGAGAGGGGATGGGAGCAGAGGGAAAAACTGCCAGGAGGGATGGGCAGAGCTGGGAGCTGCCCCTAAACACGGCACGGAAATTTCAGCCTAGAAATACATCCCTGGGGAGGGGAGAGGAGGTGTCTCGGCTAAAGGAAGGTGCTGGTGTGAGGATGGATGGATGGATGGATGGATGGATGGATGGATGGATGGATGGATGGATGGATGGATGGATGGGGATAAATTTTTCGTGGATGGGGAGCAGATTTAGAGGGGATGTGAGGAAGGAATTTTTCCCTGGCACAGGGTGCCCAGAGCAGCTGTGGCTGCCCCTGGATCCCTGGCAGTGCCCAAGGAGCACCCTGGAACGGGTCCATGGATGGGATTTTGGTCTTTTTCCAACCCAAACCACTCCACAACTCCGGGATTCCATCACAGAACCGTGTCTGTCCCCATCTCTGTCCCCAGTTTGTCACTGCCCCCAGCTCAGCTGCCAYCCCAGACCCCTCTGGGGATCCCCAATCCTGCTCCTCCCACTCTGCAGCACCCCCAAACTCTCGGGAGCAAATCCCAGCTCCTCGTGGATCCCCTGCTGCAGCCGAGGCTCCATCTCACCCCGTCAGTGATGATGATGCTGAGCCCCAAACAGCGGCTCCCAAATCCAAGGGCAGCCAAAGCTACGTGGAGACGTGAATTCCCCTGCTCCAGGGGGGAAACTGAGGCACAAAACATTACAGAGGGGGTMTAGAGACACCAAAACTGATATAGGCAGGTATAGGAATTCCAAAAATGCAACCAGCTCCCTCCCCAGTGCCCAAGGATGGTTTTACAAATTATTCCCAAGGCTCACCCACGCCTGCAGCGTTATTTACAGCCCTCAGGAAAAACACGGAGGTTTGGAATCGTTTCCTTCCRTGGGAAAACATTGATTTTTGCCAGCCTGCGCTTCGAGCTGAGGCTCTCGCGCTTAATGAGACAAAAAAGACAACACCAGAGCCCGGTGGCAGCAATTTGGGCTCGGGGAATGCTGGTGGCTGCGTCCAGGAGATGCTGCTGGAGCCGAGTCTGGAGTGAGGGATGGGCAGAGAGGGCAGCTCCATCTCCTCCAAATCCTGCCAGGAGATTYCCTGTGCCAGGGATCCCGTCCGGAAGGAGCAGGGCTCCTGCAAAACCCCTCCCTCACGGTGGTGGGAACGGTGCCTGGGTAAATAGGAATTCCCACCCCCGAGCTCTCCTCCCGTGGGCAGCCGCGGTCATAAAACCGGCGCGAACTCCGCCTCGGGAGTGTGAAAAATAGGAAGTGTCAAGTCCTGCGAGCTGCCCACGGCTCCCAAACGCCAGCTGGAACAACGGGGATGATCGGATCCCCGCAGCAAAAACACCCGGCTGCTCACAGCGCTCTCCCGTTCCAGGAGGAGCATCSTTCCGGKGGGGAAACTGAGGCACGAAGCACTGCAGGATGGTCTGGAGACCCTAAAAGTGGTATAGGGATCCCAAAAATGCAACCAGCTCCCTCTCCAGCACCCAGGGATGGGTTTTCAGGTCATTCCCAAGAAAAGCCGGGCTCACCTCAAGCCGGGATGGTTCCGCACCAAGCTCGGCCCACCAGGACCTGCTGACTCAGCAGCAGCAGCGGGGGATTTCACCGGAACGAGCCGTTTTCCTGCCGGGAAGGGCCCCCTGACCCCATTGTTCGCCAGGGGCTGCTCTCGAAAGAACGGAGCCTTGCCCCGAGCCGCCAGCTGGAGCCCGAAATAACCCGCTCCGCTTCCTTCCTGTCGCTGCAGCTTCCAGCCCGGCTCAGGGCTCGGGCTGACCCCCACCCCCTTCTTCTTTTTAATGAAAACACCCTAAAAAAAAACAGCTTCTTCTTCTTTTTCTTCTTCCGAAATGGAGCGGCCCGGTGTCGCTGTCACCGAGCTCCTCCCTGCTCCGGAAGAGCGCGGCGGGGCTGTGGTCCCAACGGCGGCTTTGGGGTCGGGTACGGCCCTTTTTTGRGGGGTTTCCTCACGTTTTGGAGGTTTTGGAGGAGTCTCGCAGCTCTGAGCGGCGGTGGGGTGAGGATTGGGGTGTCCTGGGTGAGGACACCGAGGGTGTCCCCGCCACGCGACACACGCGGTCCCCTGGGGACAAACACGCGCCGCTTTGGCGCTCACTCCACCGGGCTGGCACCTCACCCGGCACCCGCTGCTGCCTAATTCCCCCAAAAAAACATCCCCACACCACTGAGGGCACAAGTTTGAGCAGGGAACACGAGGTCCCATCACCATGTGGGCACCCGGTACCGGTGGCACCAGGGCAGAGCTGCCAAGTGAGCAAAACCTGCGGATTTCCTTTATGGAGAGGGGCCAAACCCAGCAGCAACAGCATCCCCATCCTCATTTCTACCTGCCCCGAAAATCCCTGTCCCTATCACCTGGTTCTCACCAGTGGCTTGGCCCCACGAACCCCTCCTGCTCCCTTGGTGAATATTTCATGCAGGAGAGGAAAGGATTTCATGCACTTAAATAATTCATGGAGCAGCACAGAGGGGGAGGCTCTGTAAGCTCAGATCGGAGCCTCCTCTGCCTCCTCTTCCTCCTCCTCTTCCTCCTCCTCTCCCTCCTCCACCTCCTCCTCATCGCGGCCATAGCAACTTGCAATGTTTTGCTACAAGTTGACTCCAACACGGAAACATCGTTTCCCAACAGGAGCAACATTTACAAGCGGCGATCTCGCTTGATCCCACACTCTGTCCCCTCCACCGCTTCGGAGAACCCCCCTGCTCTGCCCCTCAGCATTCCCAGCCCCCCGGAATCCTCGGCTSAATGCCAAAGGGGCGGATGGCATCCCACAGCTCTGCTCTCCATCCCCCGGCATCGCTTTCGCCCCGGCGCTCCAACCTCTATTAATTAATTAAACCCTCCTGAATTACAGGAGCCAGCTTGGAGCGCCGGGAAGTAACCGGAGAGCCCCARCAGCGTCACCAGCCTGTCCCCCAGCATTGGTGACCCCCAGAACCCGCGTTACCAGCGCTGGGAGAGCCGAGGAAGAGGAGCGGGAGGAGGAAGGAGCGGCCCTCGCACGTTGCCATGGGTGCAAAGAGCAGCCGGAGACGCCGCGCTCGGGCTCGTGTGTGCCCAGCGGGGCGAGGCCGGCGAGGAAGCGGCTGAGTAAACACCTCGCCCGAGGAAAAACTCATTTCTTGTCGCGGCCGGGATGGATCCATTGCCGGAGCACCGGGAATGCCGCGGGGCACCGCCACAAGCGGCTGGTTCTACCCCAGCGGCGGTGCCAAGCTCTTGGCGTGTCCCCATCATTGTCCCCGCCATCTCTGTCACCAGAATTTGAACTCCTCCATCCCAAAAATCTCCTTCCCGCCCTCGCACCCATGGGAAGGAGCAGAAGAGTTTTTCTTTTTTTT